TGTATATCTCCATGTTTGCATGTATGTAGGTGCTTGTGTGAGAATATATGGAAGTCCAAGGTCACCATCATCTGCCTCAATCATCTCTACTTTATGTACGAAGGCATGGTCTCTCACTGAATTTGGAGCTGGCCATTTAGGCTAGACTGGCTAGCCAGCCCCATCCAGGTTCCCATCTCCTCTTCCTAAGCACTAGAATTACTAGTATGTAGACCAGGCTGGCCTTGAGCTCACAGGGGCCTGCCTCTGCTGGGATTAAAGGCATGCACCACCACACCTGGTTCCAGTTTCATCTATATAGTGAGTTCCAGCCAGCCAGGACTATATAGCAAGACCCTGTCTCAAAAACTCCAAAGAAATAAATAACATATCCTTTATCAAAATCAGAAACCATCTATAACACTTCAGTACCACTATCCACTTTAACTTCTATTTGTGAATGGTGAGAATTCCTTACCAGACCAGGGGCTTGGGCAGGGTATGGTTCATGGCTGCAACCCATGCCAACACTCATGAATGGCATAGAGAAACCATGTTTGCCTGGACAAGATAAATTTCAAAACCAGGGGCAGAAGTTCAACTTATGTGTTCTCAATTACAGCAAAGGGGCCACCTTCCAGTCCCCTGCTGAGAGTACTTGGGCCTCATTCTTAGGGGACCACGACCTTGGTTTCAAGCTGAAGCACTCCCTGGAATGCCTTAAGTAATAGGAGAAAGCTCCTGGAGGAATAGAATTTGCCAGCCAAGCCCAGAAAACCTATGTGGATGGCAGACAGACTTAAAGTAGGCACTTAGCAAAATTGCTTTCTGTTATCTCAAAGGAAAATAATAGCACTCAAGGCTCACTTAGCAGAGGATGCTGAGGTATAAATGGGATTGTGGTTCACTCAAATGTGCACACACATACATGCACATGCGCACATACACATATGCATGCATGCATGCACACACACACACAGCCCTTCAATGGCTCTTAATCTATGAAATATGCCGCAGAGTTGCGATTCTCCCCACCTGTTCTCCACCCTCTCCTCCACCACTCCAGGCCTTACAGATTCCAGTCACCAGGACTATTGGAACACATGCCCTTGTTTATATTCCCTTTGTCTGACATGCTCTTCCCTCCTTGCCCAGTGGGTGAAACTACTTATTCTTTGTTGCTTCCTCTGCAAAACTTTCCTCCACTCCTGGCACATCACTCCTTCCTCTGACAGACAACACTTGCTTTAGGTGTCAGTACCTATCCCAGTCATTCAAATGCCAGACCCAGAAAAGACCACAGGATCATCCCCTCAGGGAGCTTGGTCAAGAAACACATAACTGCAAGGTAGGAAAAGGGCTAAGAGGGAACAAGGAGCCCCACAACCAGGTGTGTGGAGGCAAGAGCAGGTGGCTGTGAACATGACATTAAACTGGTACCTGAGAGCCAGGCACAGTTGCACATACCTGTAATCCCAGTGCTTAAAGGCTAAGGCAGGAGGAGCTCAAATTTAAGGATAGCTTGGATTATATAGGAGACTTTCCAAAATAAATCAGAAGAAACGCACCACCCTTCCCCCAAAAAACCAAAACAAAAACCCCACCCTGATATGTACGAGATAAGAAGGAATTAACTCAGCAGAGATGAAAGAAAAGTCTTCCAGGCAGAAGGCACAGTGTGTATGAGGCTGACTAGAAGAAAAAAGGCCAGAGGCTGTATGGCCCCAGTCTTAAACTGTAGTGTGAATAAAGAGGCAGACTTTCTTGAAGGTACTAAGTACTCAGAATCACAGGCCTTTGTTTTTGCCCTCCCCTAGAGTAATACTATATCTTTCTTCTTTCCCAGGAATCCAGGGAACAGGACCCCAGCACACAGTAGAATCCACCAGGTGCCTGTGGTCCACAAAGCTGCAAGAGGGCTCTCTGTACACTCCCACTCTGCCCTCCAAGCCCTCAGTTGGCTTGCCTAACTGAAGCACCTGGGTATCGGTTGACCACAGGCCACTCACTGATAGAAACCATGGATGAAATGAGAACAGCTGTAAGAGCTACAGTTATGTCCTTGACAAATGCCACCAACAACCTTGCTGGTTGATCACTACATGGTTCTTGGATACCAGATTCTCAGAGTGAAAGTTAATCAGATGGCAGCTCTAGTCTGAGAGGGCCTGCCAAAATCATAGCCCCAAGATTAAATGATCAGTGTGAAGTTCAAAGCACAGTCTCCAAGATTTAGTAGTTTTTCAGTTTCTTAAAAAAAATAATGCCAGAGCTGGAAAGATGGCTCAGTGGTTAAGAGCACATACTGCTCTTCCAGAGGACCCAAGTTTGATTCCCAGCACCACGTCAGAGGCCCACAACCACCCATAACTCCAGATCCAGAGGATCTGATGCCTCTGGCCTCCACAGGCACCTGCACTAATGTGCACATACCCATATCACACACACAAATGATTAAAAATAAAATAGCTGGATGTGGTGGTGCATGCCTTAATCCCAGTACTTGGGAGACAGGAAGGCAGATCTCTGAGATCGAGCTCAGCTGGGGCTACAGGAAAACCCTGTCTCACAAAACCAATAAAAACAACAACAATAATTAAAAAATAATGCCAAAGGTAAAATACAACTAAATTGGCAGGAATGTCCAAGTCACTCAGGTGCCCTGTCCTGGATCATTCCTGATGAATTAGTCCCTGGTACAATACAGAACCAAGACAGAATTCTAACATTTTAAGAACATACAATTCAAACTGGAGGGATGGCTCAGTAGTTAAGAGCACTTGCTGCTCTTCCAGAGGATCCAAGTTCAATTCCTAGCACCCACACGGTGGCTCACAACTTCCGATAATTCCAATTTCAAGGGATCTGATGTCCTCTTCCAGCCTCTGCAGGCACCAAATACGTACACGGTGCACATACATATACGCAGACACACTTAAAATAAATTTTTAAAAATATTTTATGAGTGTATTGCTTGCATGTATGTGAGTGCACCCATGTCATGTAATGCCATGGAGGTCAGAAGAGGGCTTGGATTCCCCTGGAACTAAGAGTGGTCAGCTGCGGTGTGGGTGCTGGGATTTGAACCTGGGTCTTCTGCAAGAACAACGAGTGTTCTTAACTGCTGAGCCATCTCTCCAGCCCCCCCCCTTTTTTTTTATCTTTTTGAGACAGGGTCTCCCTGTAGCCCCAGCTGGCTTGGAATTCCCTATGTAGACCAGGCTGGCCTTGAACTCAGAGAGATCCCCTGGAGTGCTAGGATTAAGGGCATGTGCCACCACACCCGACAGATGCTTTTAAGGTCTTCTGAAGATGGCTTGCAATGCTAGCCAACTGACTAAGATCAAATATAAAGATGGCTTGTTCAGTACTGACTCTTAGTTTCTTGTGATATAGATTGTTCATCTTTTTTGTAAAATACATTTTTCTTCCAGGTGTATGTAAGTGTGCCACATGTGTGCAATGCCTGCAGGGGCCAGAAGGGGGCATCAGATCCCCTGGAACTGGAGTTAAGGACGGTTGTTATTGCCCATGTGGGTGCTAGGAACCAAGCCCAGGTCCTCTGTAAGAGCAGTCAGTACTCTTAACTGCTGAGCCATCCCTCCAGCCCCATACATCTTTTTTTAAAAGACTTATTTTTATGTGTATGTTTTTGCCTGCATGTATATAAGTGCACTTCACATGTGCAGTGCCTGTGGGGCCAGAAGAAGGTATCAGGTCCTCTGGAACTAGAGTTATTACAGTCAGTTGGGCGCTGGGAACTGAACTGGGTCCTCTAAACAAGTACTCTAAACCACAAGGCCATCTCTCTAGCCCTCTCATTACATCTTCTTAAACATAGGGTCTTAGCACAGCAATGACCACAATTTTGAATGCTGCTCCAGGGCACATACTATGCTAGTTGCTTTCAGTACATTGTTAATCCTCACAAGGGCCCTCCAAGGTGCTAATTCTCACCCCACCTGACAGACAAGGGTCCCAAGATCAAAAGAAGTAAATTAATTTCCTCATATTCATAGAGGTAGTAAGCAGGATCAGTGCTAGCACTCAAAGTCAGACTCCAAAATCTGGGTTCCTTCTACTTGGTCCTACTCAGAAGTAGGTGCTCAACCTCCTGAAGTTCAGGCAGAGGCCTTGGACTAGGAGCAACCTACAAGATGTGAGGCCCATTTTTGATATTTGTTTCCTGACAGTGAACAACATAAAATATTTTTGTGTTAAAAAAAGAAAAAGACATGGATGTATTTATTTATTTTTATTTTTTGGTCTTTTGAAACAGGGTCTCCCTGTAGCCCCCAGCTGTCCTGGAACTCACTATGTAGACCAGGCTGGCCTTGAACTCACAGAGATCCGTCTTCGTCTGCCTCCCGGGTGCTGGGATTAAAGGCGTGCGCCACCATGCCCGGCTTTATTTTTTTATTTTATGTGTATGGATGTATTGCCTGCACGTAGGTAAGTGCACCCATGTCCTGCAGTGCCCGTGGAGGATAGAAGAGGCTGTTGGATCCCCTGGGACTGGAGTTACGGGCAGTTGATAGCTGCCATGTGGGTGCTGGGATTCAAACTTGGGTCTTCTGCAAGAATAATGTGTTCTTAACCGCTGAGCCATCTCTCCAGCCCCGACATGGATATATTTTAAAGTATACTGTACAATGTATAATAAATGTAAAATAATTTTTAAAAATGAAATACAGAGCTGAGAAGAAATTTCATGCCTGTTGCCCAGGCTTGAGTATCTCAGGTCAGGAATCTCTACAGAAATATGACACACATTGTCTTTCTTTCAAGTGATGGGGAATCAAACCCGGGGCCTTTCCCATGTTAGGCAAGAGCTCTGCCACTAAGTCCCCACCTCAGCCCATCTTTACTTTATGTCCTTCTTATTGTGTTTAAATGTCAGCATGCAACTCACTGTTGATTTTCTATTCCTACTTTCCTTGAACTAGAACAATCAAAATGTTTAAAGAAAATAGCAGTATGTCAGCCACAGGCAAGTCATTTACGAGGACACCTTTTGTAGATACAATAAATCTGATCAATTTTATTTCACATCTTGGTTTAGAATCACTTTACATTGCTAGACAAAGAGATAATACAAATAAATATCAATTGTAAAACGTAGAGCCCCAAGTATTGGCATATATCTTTGTTTAAAGATAGCCGAAAAGGAGGTCAAGACCAATAGTAACTCAAGGAGACATAAAGCCTACCACTTCCTGCCTGCCCACAATCATTCCTTTCAAAAATAACCCCAAAAGCATTTCATTCAAAACACAAGGGCAGAGAGAAAGGTGCCAGATTCTGAGCAGTACAAGACAATTGTCGGGCATGGTATCCTTACCTAGTTCCCTTTCAGCTTTTTCATTATGGCTTTTAGAATTTATTAGTAGCCCCAATTTCATCCACTGATGGTTGTCTGGATGGACCAAGGTGGTGTTCACAGTGCCCTTCAAATTTGAGTGTGAAATGTGAGGCAGAACTGATAGCCTATGTTAGCAGGGAATCAACACTTCTCAGAAACTTGGCAACAAGTCTACATTCAGTGAGGACGGACTTACAAGAGTCAGATAGGAAGAGCAGAGAGCAGCCCATGCCTGAGTGTTTAGTGCCCTTGGTTATGGAGGTGTGGGTGGAGCAATCCAAGCAACATGCAGGCATCAGACAGGGAGCAATTCAACGTTAGGTCAGTCTTAAGAAAGTGCTTCATGCCCATGATTTGTGGCCTTGGGTTCTGAATCCACAGGTCTGGGAATTGTGTCATCTTAAAATATGAAGCCAAATACATTCTACTGAGCAGAATAAAAGAGTCTAATGAGGGTTGTGTACACAGTCTCAAACTTCTCCCAGATGGTCTTAGACTGTTTTAAAGACTTGCTTTTAGACTTCAGTAGCTGCTGCAGGCATGAAGGCCTTCCATCCCAGAACATTCTAGATGACTACAGACATAAAAATTTGGTCCCTTAGTGAGTTTGGTATGTCCTCTACAAATTTGACTCAATTAAGAACCCAAAGCAGCAGCATTCTGGTGGCAAGACATTTTACCATCTGCTCTATTCAAATACTTGTCGAATCCATTTTGAGAGAAGAGAAGCACCAGAGACTGCTTGGGAAGGGACAGCTCCATCTCCACATGGGTGGCCTTTTGCTTAGTTTCCATAGCCCACTAGATGAAAACGGCTGAGGACAAGGCAAGCTTGCTTTAATAGCCAGGCCTGTCAGTCTGGCTTTCTTCTTCTGCCTTCTTGGAAAAGTTCTGTGTGTCATTTAACCACCTTCCCTTGTCACATTAGCTTTTCAAGATACCAATATTAAGGTATGGTATCATCTGAAGTTTTCATTTCTTAGATTTGCTACATGAATGTTTTTAGCCTATAGAATTCAGATTAGCTGTGAGGAAATGTGTTCTGAGACACTTCTCTCCAGCAGATAATCATCTTAGACCACACATCTCTTCATCAGTTCCTATTCAAGCAGGTACATTCTTAGTACATAAGGAAGAAGCAGGGTTTGAGCCCATGAAAAGATGAGGATAGGTCCCATTACACCCTAGAACTGCTGAATAGGGCCCTGGGTTCAGAAAGAATGCTCAGTAACGAGGAGATAAGTTTATGCTGCAGATCTCCATTTTGTAGAATGCTAAGACATTGCACTTGGTACCTCCTCTTTCCCGTGGGCCCTGATCCAGAAACGTACCTGGAGACTAAGAGCTGAGTTAAAATATAACTCAAGGCCCACCTAACTCAAGGCCCACCTTCCTGGAACACCATGTCAGCAAGGTGTGCCAGTGTGGCAGACTTGGGGACTCAGACTGTCCCCTCAGTCTTGGCTCATGGACTCAGACACCCATGTGGGAGAGCTTCCAGCCTAGATTAGTCATTCCGTGGGCCTTTACACAGACAAAGGCAATAACCGCACATTAGAGTATTTCTAAACTGGGCAATTTTTTGGTCTCTGTCTCTTACAGACACACATGGACACACTCAAAGCACAAGCACTACTGTGCTCACACACTCATATACACTTATGAGCTTCTCTTGGGGGTAAAATGAGTAACTGTCACCTCATGACCAACATAAAGCTTTGAAGCATCATAATACAAAGAACTAAAACTTACCAACCAAACTAGTCTATGTAAACGGGAACTGTGAACTCTCTCCTCTGAGCCTATTCAAACAGCCTTTCCTTGCCGGCACCTTGGGCTCCACCTGGGAGAGCTACATGTGTAGGATTTGGCGAATTCTCTGCTGAAGGCAGCCAGGATTCCTTTGCTTCCACCTGTCTTCTCCTCCCCCTGCTTTGAGTCACCTATCTGCACCTCTGCATCTATCTGCTTACTTTTCTGCTCTCTCTGTAGCCTGGAACCAAATGGGGAATTCAGAAGTGCCATTCCTGATTCCTGTCACCTTTCCCCAACTCTAGTTCCATCAGAGAAGGCAGAGCCAGCCTCCCTTCTCCTACAATGTAGGCCAGCTGCAAAGCACACTTTGTAAGCAAAAGGTGCATCTAACATAAGTACACTCAGAGTATGCATACTTGGGGAAACATGGTGACAAATGGAGGGTAAAGTGACTTGGCGGATGGGCGTGGCACTGGTTTACAGACAGGATGGTCATGGTTTTGAGGTTTTAATGGAACTGGTTCCCCAAACTCTCCCAGGAAGCAAAAGGAATGTCATTCAGGAGCAGGGAAACTGGATCGCTGACTGTGCCATCCTGGGCTTGGATCCAAGTGAGATTTCTCCTTTCTCCTGACAAGAACAGGTACCTATTCAAGTTCTAGGGCTTTCACTTTTCAGCTTCACTGTTACTTTAACCTGAGATGCCACACATACAGTTTGAAGGGGACCCCTGACTCAGTACTGTTTAATAAGAAAGGAGCTGGATTTGAGGAAGAGGCTAGAAAAGGAGAGAGGAAAGGAAGAGAGGGTAGAGAGGAGAGGAAGGAGGAAAACAAGGTCATGGTCATTCTCTTGCTGTCCACTTGGACTTTGCACTTTACCTTACCCATGCATTTCTGAGCTGCTAATTAAAAGATGTTTCTCAGAGGAGCTGAGTACCAGATTAGGACCAGCATGTTCAGGCAGACTATTGGCTACTCTGCAAAGAGGCCATCACTTCTCCTCAGGGGAATGGTTCTGAGTTTAGGCTCAAATCATCTCCGCAGTTTGTGCTCACTCTTTTCTCAGAAGACAATGCTGTTCCTCCCCTGGGAGGAGGTGCTGGTGTTACTTGGGAACCAATCCCCGAGACTGTGGGTAAAACTGAGATGCAGGGTTTCCTGAGGAGGAGGAGGAAGATCCTGACTTCCTGCCACTCTTAGGCCTGTAAAAGTCAAACACATTACACATCACCAAGTGCCATGCACATTTGAAGGTAGCCTTTCCTCAATAGCTTGAAAGCCAGCATACTTCTAACTGTAAACCACTAGACTGATCCAGCAGGACCCTCTAGGTCAACTGGCCAACTGGTCTTCCAAAAGAGGTATGAAACCTGAGAGAAGGGACTTGGATGCTCAGCAAGCTCAGGCCAAAATAAACGAGGGCTGGGAATGCAGTCTCCTCATGCTGGAATTAAGGTGTTCATGATCACATTCTCAAATGTCCTGTCAAACACAGGTCACCAAAAGCCACTCACCTGGCCTTGGATTTCCTATTTGCAGTACTTTCAAAGGATGATGCATCCACCTGTATCTCATCTTCGTCCTGCAGAGCTGCATCCAGAGCAGCCTGGACCTTGGGGGAAATGGCTGGGCCCTCATAGTCTCTGGTGGTTCGGCTGGGCATGTCCAACTCTAAGAGCATGATGTTCTCCGCCTGCAAAAGCACAGCAGCCACCATCTACATTGGCCTCCAGTCAGACACAGCAGGTACAAGCAAGCCAGATGCCCTTTGAGAACAAAACTGCAGCCTATTTACCATTAAGAGTGTCCCAAGAGGGCCAGTGACATGGCTCAGCAGTTAAAGGCACTTGCCACCAAGCCTGATGACCTGAGTTTGACCCCTGGAATCCACATAGTAGAAGGAGAGCACTGACTCTTACAAGTTGTCCTCTGACCTCCACATGTGCTATGGCACACATACTCCCAAACACATACATACAAATAATTTAAAAATGTAATAGGAAACAATTTTAAAGAGTCTGCCTAGAAGAAATGATAGTTTTGTATGTGCAGTGTATGTATGCATGCTTGAGTGTGTGCATGCACATGGAGGTCAGAGGTCAATGGCAGGCATCTTCCTCTATTACTCTCCAGCTTATTTTTTGAGGCAGTGTCTCTCAGTGAACTTGGAGGTTTATGGCTACACTGGCCAGCAAGCCTTAGAGAGCCTCCATTTTCTGCATAACTCAGCACTGGGACTGCAGATGCACACCTCCGCACCCAACTTTTTACAGGGGCACTTGGGGCCTGAACTCAGGTCCTCATGGTTGCATGGCAAGCGCCTTACTGACTAAGCCATTTCTCCAACCCCAGAAATGATACTGTTCTATTTTTCTCTGGTGGGATTATAGGGGTTTGCTTTGTTTCACCTATTTTTACACACCTAAAATGCACAGAGCACGCTATTCACTATTAAACGATCTTAGAATATAAAATTCAGTAGTATTTAGTATGGTCACAATTCTGTACAATTATCACAAGATATTTCCAGAATATTTTTTTCGTCATTCTAAAAAGAAACCCTGGCCAGGCGCGGTGGTGCATGCCTTTAATGGGAGGTAGAAGCAGGTGGATCTCGTGAGATCAAGGCCAGCCTGGTCAACGTATCAAGTTCCAGGCCAGTTGTGGCTACAGGGAGACCCTGTCTCAAAAGACCAAAACCAAACAAACAAAAAAATAAAACTAACTAGGACAACATATATTTTCAACTTTTTGGTAAACCACAGTTCTGTGTGCACTTGAGTTATTTGGGGAGAAATGGGTTAAGTGTTTTATGGATGTCTGTAAGGTTTGATTTGTCCATAATATTATTCCTATCTGTTTCCTTGTTAATTATCTGTTCAGTTGTTCTACCCATTAGTCAATAGTTGAAGCCTCTAACTATCACAGTTGGCCTGTATGTCCTCCTTCAACATAACTGCTAGTATCTTCTTGACACTTTTAATGATCTAAGTCCTGCTTTGTCTCTCAACAATTTTGCCTTATTTTCTCTGATATTAACAGATTATTCTAGCCAGGTGTGCTGATGCATGCCTTTAATCCCAGTACTTGGGAGGCTGAGGCAAGAGGATCTCTGTGCATTTAAGGCCAGCCTGGTCTACATAGTGAGTTCCAGGCCAGCTGGGGCTACAGGGAGACCCAGTCTCAAAAAGACAAAAAA